ATGAATATAATTTTTTAATAAAAATATGGATTTTTACTAAGTTAAATAAAGACATCTTAAAAATAACAAATGCTCAATGAAGTTGACTAGATAAATACAGTTTACTGGTTTATAGCATTAAAATTTTATTTAAATTCACTAAATTAGTAAAGGAAATTCTACATGTTCATTATTAATGTGTTTCTTCAACACTCTAACAAAGCTATTGGATAGACAATTAATATATTACCCCTAGAAACATTTTAACAGACCCTAGTTTAATTTATACAAGTCAAAAATTTCAAGAATATGTTACTAGAATATTGTAGATAAAATTATATTGTACCAGCACATGTTAGCGACAAAAAAATAAAATGAGTGAAAATTTTCATAAATGTTTACATAAATAAAACTTTATATGAAAAAAAAAATTCACCTTTTAAGAAAATAGTGAAAAATACAGGGTTAGTTTATAATAATGAATTGAATGGTGAAATAGAGTAGACATTATATCTTTTTTTGTTTGAAATAGATTATTTATATTCAAGATTCTAAAATATATTACCAGAAAATTTTTAAAAATTAGAATCACTTAAACGATCGATGGAAAAACACATTCGGTCTTAATGAAGTTGCGAAGAAATCCATGGTTGAAAATAATGATAATAACGCCGTAGATAATATTTCCTAAGAATGATCAGAATACTAAACATGCCAAATGGGGCATTATAGTGGTAACACTTAATATATACTACATTTGTTTTTTATGTGTAGAGTAACTCAAATCTAAAATGAAATTCTAAAATATATACCTATATGCTATAGAGGTAGATACATATAAATTCCATTAACAAAAATTAAATAGTGAAGTAATAAAAATAAGGAGATATATAAATAACAATTGGAGAATTTAATACAAATTACTAACGTTAGTATGTAAAAACTTAATTTTGGACATTCATTCAAGCATTAGAACTATTTTTATATTCACAATAAGAACCGCGTAATACTTTAAGATATTAGTATGATAAATATAGAAAAGTTACAGAAATGCAAAAAGGGATTAACATAATAAAACAAGTTAAATAGAACGAGCTTTAAGTAGTAACTAATACATTTAACTGAATTATAGGTTATGCTTAATAAAAGATATTAACTTTTTTCAGAATAAAAAATTAATAGCTGGATGAAAAGTAAATAGTTATCTATATGGTTAATAAAAGGAATTATTAACCATCTCAAGAACAAAAATCATATGCTGTATGTAAAATAAATAATTAGCTAAGCAAGCTCAAGATAAAAAAAGAAAAATAAAATAATTGTTAAATTTTTTTTATTTTCTTTTTTTAATTTAAAAATTTATAAAAGATATTTTATTTTTTTTAAAAATAATTTAATTTAAGAAAATAGAAGAAAAAGTCACTAACAAAAAAGTTACCTTATAATATATTTTTGTTTATATTTATATAAAAAAATATTTTATTAAAAATAATAAAATTTTCGTCTTTTGTGGTATTTATATAAGTTATTTTGTATTTCGTTAATTATTTTTGTTTCTTAATTTGAGAACAATGGATTTGAATTTTTTAACATTACTCATAATAATATAAATAAAATATATGTAATTAAAATCGATAATTAATGAAAATTTAAATTTTTAATAAAAATATTAGATTTTAGCACAAATATATGCCTCTTAAAAACAATAAATATCTATTGAAGTATATTATATAAATACAATTTATGGTTTATAGAATTAAAACTAAATATAAATTCATTAAATTAGTGTAAACAAATATACACATCCTTTAGTAATATGTTCGTTTAATTCTCTAACAAAGTCACTCAATAGGAAATTAATAAATCATGAATTAAAAAAGAACTATTTTCAATAGTTATAGCTTGTGAAACATTCAATTATTATATTAAAAGATCCAAAGTATTAATTAAAATTTATTGTAATGATCTCAGAAATCGATTCTATTGTTTCTGGGAATTCATATAGATGAAAATTAAGCTTATGTGATTATTAAAAGGTATTATTAATTTTTTGTGAATAAAAATTAATAGATATAAGAAAAATGTGTAGTTATCCATGCTAGCTCTGAACAAAAAAATAAAATTTATTTTAATTTTATTTATTTCTTTTTGTAAGTTGAAGAAAAAAATATACTTATTTTTTTTGTATCGAGATTTTTGAAAAACATTGTTTAAGAAAATAATCTCTTTCTAGTGAGTTTTACGTTAATTTTTAGAAGAAAATTTTGTACTCATAAAAATTTTTTCTTTACAATAGTTAAATAAATTAATTTTATGTTTTAATAATTAATTATTTTTAACTAAAAAACAATGATTTTTTATTTCGAAGCATTATTCACAACATTGTAACATATATTTTATTAGAAAGCAATAATTAATGAGGATTTATGTTTTTAATAAAAATATAGAATTTGTATTAAAGAAAATAAATAATCTTTTAAAACAATAAATTCTCAATGAAATAAACTACTTAAAAGCAGTTTATTGATTCACCTAATTAAAGTTATATTTAAATTTATTAAACTAGTAGAGGTAATTCTATATTCTCTTTATTAATCTGTTTTCTCAATTCTATAGTAAAATCATTTAACGTCTATCTAACAAATCAAATATATACATTTTAATATACATATTTGTTAAAAATACTTTGCACACAAAAATAAACTTTAATTACATTATGTTTCTTTTCATTAAAAATCTAAATATGCAGTAATATTATTTATTTACATCTTTTGAGCATAAACATCATTCAATTCCTAATTAGTTATATTATAATTCCTATTAAATTTATAAATAATATTTTCTAATATTGTCATTTTCGTACTTATTTTTTTTTTATTACTGCATATTTACAAATTAAGAGATATATATACGCAGAACTATATATTAGGAAAATTTTTTTTATATTTTAATTTATATATTCTCTTTATTAATTTATTGAAAATATTTTTATGTAATATATTTTGTTATATTACTTGTGACAATACTTAAATTCTTACCATAATTGTATTATTTTTCATGTTTGTGATTGTTTTATTCATTTTTTCTTTTTTTTTTTTTGCCATATATATTATTATTCATGTAATGCTGAGTGCTTTAAATTAACACATTTTTGTTATTTTAATTATCATCTTTAATCTCAAATATATTATTATTAATTCTTTATTTTATTTAAATATGGATTATATTTCATTAATTTACATAACAATCAAATTAAATATTAAAGATTTTATTATTAAATATTTAATAGAGAAATGTACTAAATGAATATATTCAATTAAAAAAAAAAGTTAAAAATTACTTTTTTAATTTTCTTTTTCTATTATAGTGAAAATTCTGATTATTAAATGAATATTACCTTTTAATATATATTATTATAAATCTACTTTTATTAAATAAAAAATTTTACAATAGTTTATAGTAATTTTATTGAAATTATGGTAGATTCAAAATATTTATTTTTACATATATTTTTCTTAATTTCGAAAATTTCTCTTTTTTATCATTTTTTTAATTTATTACTTGATGCTGTATTCATTTTTTTTTTTTTTCTGAACAAAATAATTCATTTTAAGTAAAATTATTTTATAAATTTTCTTTTATTAATAATATGAAATTTCTTTATCATAATGTCATAAAAATTTATTCATTATTTTAACTTAAGTCTCCAATATATTAAATTTTATATTTAAATTTTTCTTTTTTTACACAAAATTTTTAATGTTAATATTTAAATTTATGATGTTTTTTACACAAAATTTTTAATGTTAATATTTAAATTTATGATGTTTTTTACACAAAATTTTTAATGTTAATATTTAAATTTATGATGATGTACATATGTATATAATTTAAATTTTATTTCTTAATTATAATTAAAATTTAATGTCAAGTCATTTTTAAATCGGCATTCAAAAAAATGTAGTATATATTTAATAAAATTGCACTAAAAATTGCAAATAAAATTTCTTTATATATCTAAATTCGATAATTGTGTTTTAATTATTATTCATATTTTTTTGAGGTAACATTATTGTATATAATAAAATTCACTGTTTTCATTTTTTTGATTTTAATTATAAAATTGAACTAATTTATAAAGCTATTACGGGATAATTAAAGTGAACTAAATGCGTTTTTTGTTATTATAATTGTTAAATTAATTATAACTTAGATATATTTTAATAATAATAATTAATATGTATGTCCTTCTTTTTTATATTTTTCTAACATTTATATATTTTTGTTTATTTATAAAATAATGTTGCTTTTATAATTTTATTTTATTTATACATTTTTATCGAAAAATATGTTGCATCGTATTATTATTTCATTAATATATATAGCCATTAAAATGAAAATATGAATTTTATTATTATTTTATATATTCGTTTTTTTTTTTTATTTTAATATAAATAATATGGAATAACTGTGATTTTAATTTTAATTCTACAAACATAATATTGTAGTATATGTTTAGTTTTTGTGTTTATAATAATATTATTAAAGAAATATATTTTCTTTGATATATTTAAATTTTTTTCTATTTATATAAAGAATAATACTATTTTTTGTTGAAATTTTTCGTGAATAAATGTTACTGTTTTTTTATTTAATTCGTAGTATAAAATATTTTTTTTAAATACTCCTTTTCTTTTAGATTCAAAAAAAAAAAAAAATTATAAACAAAAATAAATACTTAATCACACTTTATGCGCGATACATTTATAGTAACATATTTTTAAAAAGGAAGGAAAAATATAGTTAAGTTTTAATAATTAAATAAGTGATTAAAAAGGTTAGTTTAATTATTTTATGAATATTGTGTATTTTGTTAAAAACCATATTTTTTATAAGGAATAAAAAATTATATAAATAAAATTAAGAGTTTAAAAAAATAAAGCCTCTAAATATTTGAGTAAAATAACTACAATATAAAGAATAAGTAGGAAAAATAAATAAATATTATGTAAATTTTTAAAATGGCACTTCTATATAACAAGGGATGCAAAAAATCTAATAACAACCTTAGTAACTGTGATATGCATTTATGTCCTATATATGGAGGTATATACCAAACTATACATTGTAGTCCTGCTTTCATTCCAGCTGATGTAAGGTATCTTCCAAGTGACCTTTCAAAAAATGAATTTCTACTTGAAAATTTTAACTCTGAAGGAGATAATTATAAGGTAACTGTTCTTTCAGAAAATGAGTCAGAAAATATTGTTTTTCTACTTGAATATATTTCAGATAATTTATTATATTTTAGAAGAGTATATTTATGTCGTCTTAAAACACTAGAACAAAAAGTAACATTGTGTGCTCTCGTTAATGATGATTTATTAGAAAATACTATTACGTTTAATTCTTTTGACGTTATTGATAGAAAAAATGAAAGAAGTCTAGTTAAATTAAAAAGTTTGAAAAATCCAAAACATGAAACACTTATGTTAGATTATAAAGATATATATTTTAGTAAGGATGCCTGCTATGTAACGGAATTGGGTTTAGGATCTTTATATGATTATGTTTGCAGATATTCCATATGTGAAAAGCATCATAAGGATCATATGACATGCAAAGATGCTAAATTTAATGGAAAAGTGATTCATTTAGGGAATCATTCAATTATTAACCAAGATAAAGAACAAGTAATATATCTTCCAGATAGTTGTTTAAAGCACAAATTGAAATTTGAATGTACTCCTTATTTTTGTGAATATAGTAATATGAATGAATTAAAACAATGCAAAGGTTTAGAAATTAGTGCTGTTAAAAATGTAATACCAAAACATGAAGGAAGGGATATAACAGGGACAAATTCTAAATATATGATTCATAAAAGTAATAAAGATATGTCCATTTTGGCAGCATCCTTTATTCCATTTTTAATTCTTGTAATTTTCATTGCTTGTTACATTTATAGAGCTTATAGAAGGAATAGAAAAAGAGTAAGTTATCCATAAGAAATTTAAATTTGTTACCTCTATCATGTTTATTCATTTATATAAATATATTTTTCTTCATTTATTCTAATATTTTGTAAATTTATAAAAATTAAAATTACAAAAATTATTATATGTTTGTTATGTTAAATAAATTTTCTACCTTTTTTAATTTTTCGAAGGGATTGAAAAAAAGAGACAAAGAACCATAATTGTTGCTTTATTAAAGGATCAAATACCCATGAAGTCCATATATAAGGTATAAAGGAAAATTTTGTATTTCTATTTCATGTATCCATTTTAAATTAGATGTCTAAGTTTACTACAATTATTAAGTTATAAGCATAGATAATAAATGGTATTATATTTTATGAGATAATTTTTAGTAAATTATACATATAACAAGTTATGTATAATTTTTATTTAAGAGATGGACAAAATAAAAAAAAGTATTTTTGTCATTTTTATTAATTTCCTTGGTTAATTATATTTTACTTAATTTCATTTTAAAGAGAAAAATATGTTTTTCTATTATTCCCATAGAAGATTTTTGTATGAAAAATAAATCACGTTAATAGAACTAACTTTAGAAACAATTAATAATTCAAAATTAAAATCAAAAAAGAAGAAATTTATTTTTATGAATGTTGAATTTTTATCTATCTTATTTTAAAACATTATAAGTAGCTTAATCTTTAATTTATTCATTTACTTTAAAAGTATATTTATCATATAATCATGAGTTTTAACATAAATCTATGTTTTTAATAATAATGGTATCTTTTTATTAAAGTAAATAAATATCTCTAAAACAGTAAATTCTTAATTACATAAACTATATTTATAAAGTTTACTTGCGTAATAAATATTTATGTATAAATGAAATTAGTGTAAATTATTCCACATTTTTTTTATTCATTTTTTTATTCAATAATGCAGAAAAATTATTTAACAAACGATTTATAAACCATATATTAAACGTACAAATTAATAAAGACTATGTTTAGTGAATTATAATGTTTTTAACTGTTTTAATTATATATATGCACTATAATTAAGTAAACTCTTTATATATAGTTTACATAAATGGTTAATAAAAGACATTATTAACCTTTTTGAGAATAAAAATTAACAGATATATGGAAAATACATAGTCAGATGTACAATCTCTTGATAAAAAAAAAAATTATTAATTCTTTTTGTTTCTTTTTAGAAGTTATATATGCATAAAAAAATATTTTTTTTTTTATAAAACATTAAATTGTTGAAACTTGAAAAATAAATGTAGGTGAAAGAAATTTCTTTGAATAGTTAATTTTATCTGATATTTTTAAAGAAAATATTATATTAACAGTAGTGAAATTTTTATGTTTTACAGTCTTTATATAAGTTATTTTGAATTTTGTCATTTATAAATGTTTGTGATTTATTAACTAGGTGTTCGGAGACTTTGCTAGAGTACTGAAAAAACAAATTAATAAAGAGCATGTAGAGTTGCCTCTATGGTTTTTATGTATTTATGTATATATTTAAATGCTTAGAACGAGTGAACTTTAATTATGTAATCTACTTCATTCGGCATTCTTTGATTTCAATAGGCATTTATTTACTTTAATAAAAATCCTTATTGAATATTGATTATTAATTAAATGTATATTATTTGTTTCTTTGTTATGAGTTATGTTCAGCAATTTATATATATTTCTGTTGAATTAACAATCATAAACAATTAGTGAAAATACAAATTAATTATATGAATATCATTTACTTGAAAATTTTATTATTATATGTATAAGTTTTCTCTTACAAAATTAATTAAGTCCTACTTCGTTAAAAAAAAAAATCTTTTTTTCTTATCTAATTCTTATTGGTAACAAATCTTTTTCCAATTAATTTTTTATTTTTATCAATTATTTTTTTTTTTATAAAAATACAATCAAAAAAAATTAATCATTTTTTTTTTTTGTGTGTGCATGACAAACTACGTATTCTCCATATAACTAGTCCTTTCACTTTCCAAAAATGTTAATAAAGCCTTTTATTAATCACATATATTATTAAACAGACTTAAATAAATTAATTCGTAGATACTATTAAAATATTTTGTCCATTGGATTTAATAGGATCATCTAATCTTTCAAATGTGTCTTGTAAATCTTTATATATAATTTTAGCTATTTTAATTTACAAGCATGAGTTTTGATGATATTCCTGTTATATTCAAGTCTCTTAAACAATTTAATAAAAAGTAAATAATATATTTTTAAAGGTTATGAATATTTTCATTCATCATAATCTTTTTATATTTATTTTTAAATCAAATGCAATGGATAATCTAAAATATTTCTCCATACACTTCTCATTGTATTTACATATAACATATGTTGTTTTAACTTTCAACCTGAATTATGGTTTTAAATATTAAATTGACGAAATTTCCTAAGATGTATTATATCAGCAAGTGTATATAAATTGAGATGCTACTTTTCTCATTCATTTTATACTTTGTTAACCCATTGAGATTATATTTTGAAATGTTTTTATTATATCAATGCTGATACTAACTGATTTTTTTAATTTTATGCAAAACGATTTTTGTAGGACATTGAAGGAAAAATTTAATAAAGATCATGTAATCTATACTGTTCTTAATTACTATAAAAATAACTTTTCTTTTATACGTAAACTTTATATAATTACATCACATAAACGAAATCAACAGTTTAATTCATATAACATTTATAATAATTTTAATGAAAATATATTAACTTAATATTTTTATTACTCTTAACGTAATACTTATTTTATAAGAGGTATTTATCTAATTTAATAAAAATTTAACCTTATTTTCGGTGAAGCTTAATTACACCTTATAAAAATCTTTGAGTAAGTAAAAAATAATATTTATTAATAAAAATTAATGATTCTTCAATAAAATTCTCTTTTCAATAAAAAAATAAATAAAATATAATTAACAAACATAATTTAAAAGTAATTTATTAATTGCCTTTCCAAATACTCTTACAATATATTGGATAGACAAATTAATAAACAATGTGTAGTATATGTTTATCAACTTTAATGTGTTAATAACTTTTTTATTGAGGAGTTATAAAGTTAATCAAACAATTAATTACATAAAAATATATAAATCTTTATATATAGAACTTACAAAACACATAAATATTTTCCATAAATGTAATCAAAATACTTTTAATAGAGATATTTTCCCCTTAATAACTTTATTTGTGTTTTCAGGTTTCTTTATTTAGCATCTAGGGTATCTCTCTTAGTTTTTTTTTCTGGATATATTTCATTGTCTACTATTGTCACCATTAAAAATGTACTTCCATTAAAGTTAATTAATAAAAAAAGTTAGCATGCATAAGCAATAAAAAAAAAAAAAGGACGTACATATACACATAAAATGCTTTTGATTAATTTGAGATTTCTTCAATATATAGTATTTAAGCTTACATGTGATTTTTGTTAGGCATTCGCTTTATATCCTGTCTATGTATGTTGAACTAAAATATAAAGACGTTAATCTATATTTTTATTAGACATTCAGCTAAGAATAAAGAAAATATTAATAATATATATATATATATATATATATATGCATAGCTATAAGGTAATATTTTTATCTAGTTATTAAGATATCCCTTGAAATATTATGCGTTTGTATTTATTTCCATAATTTACATTTATTTTACTAATTATTTCATTCAATAAGATTAATAATATTCATCATTGATTAATTATTATTTAATTAAAGGTATTATTAACCTTTTTGAGAATAAAAATTAATAACTGTACAGAAATAAATTGTCATATAAGCACTAGATAAAAAAGAAAAAAAAATTAATTGTTAATTTTTTTGTTTTCTCCTTGATAAATTTAAAATATATAGAAAAATATATTTTTTTTTTTGAAAATGGTTTAAATGGTCAAAAAATTAAAAAGATAAGAGTTGCTAACTAAAAAATTTTTTGTAGTATATTTTGCTTTAAATTTATGCAAGATAATTTTATATAAAGATAAAATTTTCATGCTTAGTGGTAATTATATAATTTATTCTGTATTTATTATTTATGTTTTTTCACTTGAAAGCAACGGATGTGAGTTTCTAAACATTAAACATAAAATTATAAATAAAATATGTGTAATTAAATGATTAATAAGGATTTAAATTTTTAATAAAAATAATGATTTTTATTAAAGTGCTTAAATACTTCTCAAAAAACAATAAATGTTCAATGAAGTAGATTATATATATAGAACAGTTTACTTGTTTACTATATTAAAATTATACATAAATTTATTAAATTAGTATAGGCAATTATACATTCTCTTTATTAATTTGTTTGTTCAATATTCTAACAAGGCTATTGAAGAGACAATTAATAAATCAATTATATAATATTACTTATGCTAGTGCCTATGAAAGATTATTATACTTTTATTGAGGAATGGATAATTATAAAGAAAAATTGTATAATTCATTAAGGTATATAAAATATTAATTATGAAAGTTTTTTATTATATATTAGCATAAAGATATTTTACGTAGTAATAATTATAAAAAATATGAATGGACTGTTTAAAATAAATGAATGAAAAAAATATAAAAATTCAAAAAAAAAAAATAATATAAAGGAATATTTAAAATGTTTTTAAAAATAATGAAATAAATTTAGGATATGTTATAAAATCACTAAAAGAAAAGCAACTAATATAATATTAGTATTCTTAATATATTATTCTTTGTGATTCTAGTACATGTAATGAAATATATAGTATTTCATAAAAAAATAGCAAAGATAAAATTAATTATAGTAATTTGGAAAATACAAAGAAAACAAATATATTTTGACTGCGATTAACATTATAAATATAAAAAATAATTTAGTAGTATTAAGAATAACAATTTGTAAATAACTATTATTGACCTATAAAGAGTGACGTATTTTGCATAAAAAAATATAATTATAGAATATCATTGTGATTTTCAGCTGGAAGAAGTTAACAAAGTATGTCTATGAATTAATGTTATATTATATTTATTTATTATAATATATAGTAATAAATGGAATTTAAAAATTTTATTAAAATCCTTTTTAGAAACAGTGAAAAAAGTATCTCACAAAATCGTAGTTTTTTTTCAAATACTCATTTAATGGTTGCCTGTTTAGTATCTTTTTCGTGTAATTGAACAAATAAATTAATAATGAGAGTATAGAGTGATTTTTACTAATTTTTTTAATCATAAAACACACTTTTATAAGCAATATGTCATTTTCGTTATATATATAATATATAATATGAAATAATTAGATTATTTTACATGAATTTACATTAACTAAATAATATAATTTAATTAAGCATTTTATTTGTTCTTAGCTTAACTATTAATTTATAAGATATTTATATAAGATTAATAATAATTTTACATATTTTTATTAAAATCTAAGTGTTTAATTTATGAAAACATTTGATTATATATAAAACGGTTTTTTAAAACAATAAACAATTTTCTTTTCTAATGAAAAAATAAAATATATAAAACAAAATTACAAATAAACCTAAAAAAATAAAAAATATATTTTTTAAACTAGTCATTTCATATATTAATTATCTATTCAATAACTTTCTTGGAGTATTGAGCAAACAAATTAATTAAGAGAATGTAGAGCTACGTCTACTAATTTAATGAATTTATGTATAATTTAAATACTATAAACATGTAAACTGTATTTACCTATTCTACTTCGTTGAAAATTCTTTAATTTCAGGAGGCATTTATTTACTTTAATAAAAATCCTTCTTTTTATTAAAAACTTAAATCTTCATTGAACATGGATTCTTAATTGAATATATTTTTACTTATAATGTTATTAATTATATTTAGCAGCTCAAATCCGTTGCTTCCAAGTTAACAAATATAATTAATGAAGTGCATATTAAATTATACAAGTATTGAAAATATGAAAATTTTATCACTATATATATAAAATTTTTTATTAAAAATTCAAAATAAAAATGTATACAATAAAAAACTCTTTAATAAATTACTTGTATTTTTCAACAGCTATTTTTCCTCTTATTTAAATCCTTTTTTTTTCAAAAAAAAATAGGTATATTTTTTTATATGTAATTAATTTACGAAAAGAAACAAAAAAAATTAACTATTTTTTTTTTTTTATTCAGCACTTACATGACTATGTATTTTCCATATAAATAGTTATTTTGATTCTAAAAAAGGCTAATAATTTCTTTTGTTAATCACAATTTAAAACATTTTCTAAAATGACAAGAATGAGTATCTATCTTTTCATTTTATTTATAATTTACTATTATTTTATAATAGGTTAATAGTATCCTTTGTAATTTAATTACTTATGAAATATAATTACAGTTGATATCAAAAATAAAAAATTAAGCCAAAATTTAAGGTTGACTTTGACATTAAGGAAAAAACATGCATATATTTTTTTAGTTAAATACCAAAATTCATTATACAGATTTGTTCTAAAAATGTTAATTGTAAAATTAAAAACATTGTCAAAGATATTATATAACAAATATAATCCATAAAAAAATATGCCATTATATGTAGAAAAACAAAATGCATTTTTTGTGATGAAAAAAAACACACAAATTTTATTTTAATATTTATATTTTTATATAAAACAAAAATTAAAAATAAATAGTCTAAACACAAAATATTTTTTTAATACTAAAACATATCAATAGAAATATATAATAAAAAAAAAATAATGGTAAAAATATTAAAAATCAATTATGTATTAAAGTTTACAGAAAATTTTTAAACACATTAAAAGAAAATTAAATATTATTTGAAATTAAATACTTCCATATATAAATATAAAATTAACACTTAATAATTTTTATATAAAGACACATGCTTCATTAAAATATAATCATTATATGTTTTCCTTACCTGTTTCTTCATCTATATAAGGAAAGTTTTTATCATAACCAAAAGCTCGAAGAAATCTATCTAATCTGCTCCTCTTTGCTTTTGTTTCTTCTAAGGTTTCTGAAGAATTTTCTATATTATGCTTTGGCATTTCACGTAATCGTTTTTTTCCTTTTTCTTTCTTTTTATTATCTCTTCCAAGTAATGATCCAAGAGGAGTATGCTATATTGCAAAAGTAAAATTTTTCATATGAATATAATCTTAATTTAAATAAATAGATATAAAAAAAGAAACATATTATACATATTTTATAGCTTTAATTTTATTCTACCTTGTAAAGGAGAACAAAACATAGTACACTTCCAAGAAGAACAAGAGGAACTGAAAAAGCGGCAATTGTTGGACCACATAAAAATGTCGAGCACACAGCACTAGACATACCACTAGATTCTGCAGGTAACGATGGAAGCACATTACTTGTCGGTGTAGTTACGGTTTCAAGTGAAATATCAGGTAAAGTGATAACATTTTGTTCACTGGATACCGTTGAATTTGTTATGTTATTAGAACCATGGTGTTCTGTTGAACTTACAGAAGTTGCAGAAGAAGTGGCTTCTAGATCATGAGAGAAAGTAGTTCCGGGAAATGAAGAAGAATTGGTAGGTGAAAGAGTTGTAGGTAGTGAAGCGCCTGTAGTTGATGAATTATTTGATAATGCAACAGATGTATTTGGAAAAGCCCCTATACTACCATTATTACCTAACATGTGGTTATTAACATATGCTTCTACTGAAGAATCTAAAATAGATAATGTGAATTTATCCCATGATTCCAAAGCTTCTCTTAAAAACGCCTTATCTTTAAGATCAGGAGATGTATTTAATGTTGTTGTAATGTGCATACTTTTATTATGCATCCAATGAATGAAATCTTTTATACCTTCGACTGTAAAATTTTCGTGCATTTTTTTTATTTGATCAAATAAATCTCCTTCAATAAATTCTAGCCATCTACCTAGTTTATTTTGAACATCCCTAGAAACTCTAGTTTTTACCATTCCTGGACTTGGCTGTTGTTCCATTAGTGTTCTTACATTTTTAATGGTGGGCATTATTTTTAAATTGTTTTTCCTAACCTCAAAACTATATAAAATATATTATGATAGAAATTTTAAATAAAAAATTTTAAAGTAATTTTTTATGACTTAATATAAATTTATAAGAATGAATAATTTAAATGCGCTTTCTGAATTGATTATTACCTAATACTAGAAAAATAGTTGAATATCCAAATAAAAAGAGATAGATAAAGAATCATCAGTGAACAATTTAATGTGTTTATTTTTACCATTTTCTGATATAACATTACATTTATTTTAAATTAGCTTGATAATATGAAACTTCAGTTAAATAATTTAATCAGTAATATTTTGTGTGCCTTTTTATATAATTATAATAATCTTTCGTATATCAATATATGTGATAATTATTTACAAAAGTATTAAAATTTAAAGTAATTATTGATAATATTTATTTGTTTTCGTATGTTTTTCAATGAATATAAAATTCAAAAAATATTTTCTCTTATGACTAGTAATTTCTGCAAAATATTATAAAAGAAATAGTTAAATAATTATTGGTAGTAAAAAAAAGAAACAATAAAAAGAAACAATATAATTATGATATATTTGAATTAAATTGTTAATTTAAAATATCTATATTAAATATGTAGATATTTAATAAATAAAAACAATTAACCACTAAAACACTATTAGTTAAATACTAGATATAAATCATTAATTTCTTTTGTTAATTGTATATTTTAAAATTGAATCAAAAAATATTTAATAGTTGAAAATTTTTAACATACTTCTACAATTTTTAACTTTATAATTTCATAATATAATAGGATTAAAGAATCTTTTTTTTAAATATTTTAGTTATAAAATTTATATTATATACAAAATTAAAAAAATTCTTGTTTGTATATATCAAAGAGGAAAAAAAATATTACATAAAATTATATCTAATATTTTTCGAATAGTAAAATAATTTATTATTCATATTTTTAATATATTTTTTAAAAAAGTAAATAAGAAATTAAATTATTTTTAAAATATTATATTTTATAAAATAGTTATAAATAAAAATAAAAAGAATGATTTAAACCATAAAAGAAAGAAAAAAAACTTTGAATTATTAACATAAAGGTAATGTTAATTAATATTATAGATACTATAATAATTTTAAAGACATGCAAATAAAATATTATATATGTATTAAAATTTAGTGAATAAATAAATACATATATTATACTCGATGTATGATTGTTTAAATTTTTATTATAAAAAAAATATAAAAGAATTAAGAAACGTTAATTAAATACAAAAAAATTAATTCATAGTAAAATTTTGTAATTTTATTATTAGTAATACAACCAAAGTCAAATAGAAGATAATATAAGAATGAAAATAAAGAAAAAAACGAAAATCAATGTAAGTTATACAAATATCGTTTTAAATAGTGACATAGAATGTTACGTAAAATTTTGCATTTACATAAAGCAGAAAAACATTTTGTTAAATAAATAACGACTTTTTAATTCATAATTTTTCTTCAGCAATAATATAATAGGAATTTGATGTATCAAGTGAATTTTAACAATGAAAATGTATTTTAAATGAATTTATTTGCATGCAACTTCATTATATACAAATAACTTTTTAACATTAAAACTTAGAAAAAAATAAAAGTAGTAATTATAATAAATAATTAGTGTATATATAAATATATTAGTTATGAATATAAAATATAATAGTTGCAAGTTTTTTAATTATGAGAACAATTAAATAATTAAACAATTAACAACCTAATCATAGTTACTAAATATAATTTCCAATAATTAAATTTTGAAAAAAAATAATAAAATTATTACATTAAATTCAATTTTTATTATATTAAATATTAAAAATAAACAAAATAAGATAAAAAAAAAATATAAATAAATACTTGCTTTACTTTCTTAAGGAAAAGAAAGATGTAATAAACAAATTTAAAAAAAATATAAAAATTTAAGATTTATATAAGATTTGGGAATTTTTCATCAATGTAGTATGATTCTTATTATAATACATAATATCTATTTATATAACATTTTGAACATTTAACATATACAAAGAATATGTAATATTTCTTATTGTTATATTAATAGTAATTGTTATATAACTTATGTATTTCAATCAATTTATTTTTAACATTTATTATAATTTAAATGTAATTCATATAAATATATTTAATTAATTAAAATAATATTAAAGATAATTTTTTTTTTTTAATATTCATAGTATTTAGGTATTTTTACCTAAAATAATACAAGAGAAAAGATATTGATTAAAAATTATTATTTTCATAAATATTCATTAGATATTATAAATACATATAAAATGGATCAAATGTGACATACTTAATGTTATATTATACATTTAAATAATGAATTCATAAGCTATATTTAATTGTTATTTTACTTATAATTATTAGCGTTTAGATACTTGGACTTAACATGATAAAAAATAAATATCACAATATATAAATGTAAAACATACCAATAAAAATATGATATCTGAATATTTTTATTTTTAACATGCAAAAAACAAAATTGCATATATGGAAATATGACCACTTTTAGCTATATCATTAACTCTTTTTTTATATATATATTGTATTCTATTTGTGTATTGTTTATTTTATTTTATTTTATAGATTGAAATGAGATATAAAAAAAAGCTAATAAATCATTTTATTAATTATAATCCATAAAAATGGGACAATTAAGCTTTATTTTTTTTTCGGAACTATTTTTCATTACCTTTTTCATAATATAGAAGTCTTTTCTATATTTATCTATTTATTTTCTTAGTCTTGCAATTATAAATAGATAAATGTGAATCGTTATTTGTCTTGCATAAATCAGAATAACTCTAAGACTATTTTAATGACGAATAGTTATCCTTTTTTCCTTTTTTCAATTATGTTAATTGTAATATTTGATTAAATCTTACATATATTCTTGCTTTAATAACTAACCAATTATTAAATCACGTGATTTATACTTTTATAATGTATTCAAAAGTTAAAATTAACTATAATTTTAATACAAAACTTGTCAACATTCTATATACAAAATTGCCATAACATGGGATAGAAAAAATTAAATAACTAAATATCATAAATGATAGTATTGCAACTTTATATTTTTATTTTTTAAAATAATTAAATGTTTCATTACTAAATTATTAGCTACTATATAGGTGATTTATTAATTGTTTACTCAGTGACTTTGTTAGTATATTGAACAAACATATTAGTAAAGAGCATTTATAATTACCCTTTGTTTTATTAACTGGGTGTTCGGTGACTTAGCTAGAGTACTGAACAAACAAATTAATAAAGAGCATGCAGAGTTGCCTCTACGATTCTGATGTATTTATATATATTTGTAAGTTCTTTGAACGAGTAATCCTTAATTATGTAATTTACTTAATTCAGAATTCTTTGATTTCAATAGGCATTTATTTATTTTAATAAAAATCCTTATTGAATATTGATCATTAATTAAATATATATTACTTTTTTCTTTGTTATGAGTTATGATCAGCAATTTAAATATATTGATGTTGAATTAACAAACATAAACAATTAGTGACAATACAAATTAATTATATAAATATTAATTACGTGAAAATTTTATTGTTATATGTAAAAAATTTTCTCTTACAAAATTAATAAAAAAATACTTCCTTAAAAAAAAAAAAAAATCTTTTTTTTTATCTCATTCTTATTGGTAACAAATCTTTTTCCAATTAATTTTTTATTTTTATCAATTTTTTTCTTTCCTGACAATCTTGATATTTTTTTTTTTATAATAATATAAATAAAAAAAAATTGATTATTTTTTTTTTTTTTTTTGGTACGTGCATGACGAACTACGTATTCTTCATATAACTAGTCCCTTTATTTTCCAAAAAGGTTAATAAAGCCTTTTATTAGCCACCCTCATAATATTATCATAGCAATCAATATAAGCAGTATACAGCTTTTCTTGTGTAGAAAATAAGCTATTTTGACCATTTTTTTTTATTTATTCCTAGAAAAAAGAATGTTCTTCATTTCATATAAATTTTTTTTCCCTAATTAGTAATGGAACTAAATTAAAAGTCCATTAAGAAAATTTCTTGATATAACTTCTATAACAATTAATATCTCCTAAAAATTATCTCATTTGTTTCTTAGGTTTACGTCATTCTACTTCATTGATTGCCTTTACTTTGTCTGATGAAAGTTTGGTTCTTTTATGGTCGATTATTTGTCCTTAATATGACATAGATGTTCTAAAGGATTTACTTTCTCTGCATTTATAGCTTAATTTTTATAAATAAGCTATTTAAATAATTCTCTCAACTCTTGGTATACAAGTAATATTATAGGTATAATTTAATTAATATTTAAATAAATAAATAAAAACATTTTTATTTGAGAATTCTAAAAAGAGGGGGAAATGTGTAAGCATAAATTTGTACACTAAAAAAAAAGATAAGTATACAAAGTATGTATACTAACATAAAAAGAATTTCGTGCATTAAATATAGACACATTTTTAAGAAAAATACTCGCTTTGAAAGTAAATACATTAAAAAATATAGATATATTTTACTATATTTTTTTTTTTATTATTCCGCTGACTTAAATTATTAATTTTCTTTTTTGATGATTATTTTTTTATGTAATTTTTTTTTTAAGAAAAAAAATAATATCTTGAAAAAAAAAGAAACTTTCTTTTTGAGAACCATAATATGGAGTATTTTTTTTTCTATGAGAGTTTAAAAATGTAATGTAAAATGTGATATACGTGGGATATTGTATAAATTAACATCAATGGAAATTAATTGGTGCAATCAATATATGATATTAATTAATAATAGTTAATAATTCTATCATTATTTTTATATAATAAATGTAAAATAAGTAAAGTTTTCTCTATATGTTTTACATTAATTTTCTTGTTCAATACTAGCAAGCACATTGAACAAGGAGTTAATAAAACAATGCCCAAAAA